GGGCCGAGCAGCGAGGCACGATCCGCCCACTCCCGCAGTCCGATCCAGCCTCACCGCTCCAGTGTCCCAGAGGCACCGAGCATGGGAGCAGAGCCGAGGCAGCGGAGACGGGAGAGAGCGAGGCAGCGGAGAAGGGCGAGAAGGGCGGGCTTCGCTCCCTCTGGCCGCAGGAAGCCAGGAAGCCATATTCTTGCAGGAGGAAGCCCTATTCTTGCAGGAATCTTGCAGGAATCTTCCTGCAACGTGTGTGTGTGTGTGTGTGTGTATGTGTGTGTGTGTGTGTGTGTGTGTGTATTTATATATATATATAAAATTCCCGTATCCCCCTCCCAAATTAATGCCACCCTTATAAAAGTTAGGGGTTTGGATTTCATCTTTTACATTCTGTTATAATTTATATTTTTATATAATAACTAATAGGGAAAAATCTAAGGAAAAATGTCATCATGAAACTAATCAAATGGAATTGGCTTTTTAACATAATGTAAGCCTGATAAACACTCTAATGAAGAAAAAAGTTTTTCCTTGAATCTCTTAAGATCCCTAGCTGGGTCTGAAATTAAACTGACCAAACCGATTAACAGGAGAAAAGCATACAAATTTATTTTACATAAGTTTACATGACATGGGAGCCTTCATAAGGAAAGGAAGACCTAAAGAAATAGACGTCTGTACTTTTAGGCTAGGTTTGATGGAGAGTAGACAGTTGTGGATGGATTGAGGGATAGGAGGCAATTATAGTAAACTGGTGGAGATACCATGGCCCCTTTGTCTTTGTTAGGATTCTTTTTGGGATCCCTTTGTGTTTGAAGATAAGGATGCTGTTTTCCTCTGGGTATAAGGAGGGTACCTCTCACATGAGGGTTCATAGCCTGTTTCAGGGAAGAAGGGAGGTTCAAGTGACCTTCTTCTGCTGTTTTCTCAAACCTCTTCCGCTTAAAATATTGAATATGCTAAGGTGTAGCATGTCCTGAACTTCATAAACACCTCAGTGACCATGGTGTATGGAAATGAAAGAAAATAATTGTGACTTACCGGTAGTAGGTTCATCTGTCAATTTTATTAATATAAAAATACTATAGATCAGAATTTCTGTGGCATATATTTTCATCAAGACATATCCCCCCACACACACACAGTTATCAAACTAGTGAAAATAGAGCCCATCTGAGAATCATATGTGATTTATTACCAACTTTTTCTTTATTTTTTATTAAGTTGTCAACTCTAGGATAATAATAAAATTTTATAGATCTTAATTCTTTTATATTTTAAGTTTTTCAACACTTAAAGAGGAAAGACTTTGATACTTTGTAGGGAATAACAGGTTTCAAAAAAGTATATTATCTCATTTTAATTTAAAAATGTATATTTATATATTTGAATTAGAAAATGTTTGTTTCTGTACCAAGAATGTTAACAGTAGGCATCTGTTCCTGGCTTTTGAAATTTGGAGTGCTTTCAAATTTTTTAATAGATAATTTATATTTTAAAATTCTTCGGTAGTGAATACCTGTCATTAAAAAAATAAATAAGGGAATTTTTTTTTCCTTATAGGTGTGAAAAACCCCTGACTCGACTGCATGTCACTTATGAAGGTACCATAGAAGGAAATGGTCAAGGCATGCTACAGGTGGGTGAATCCCAGCAGCATGCTTGTGTTTGGGACTTTTGTCAAGCTTTTGACAGCAAAAAGCGTTTGAAAGCTGTTTATTTATCTTCTGATTTAATGCAAAGAAGCACGATAGCAGAATGGAGAAAAACACCAAACAGATCATCTTGACAGCTGTGGTAATATTGTTACTTGCCAGCGTACGTTCTCTGTTTCTTACATGAGCCTCTTTTTTCAAAAGCCTTTGACAGTAAATCCCAAGATCTGGACAACATCAGACCTCTTGGTTCAGACATAGATTGTGGATTGACAGTAGATGAAGTTCCCAGGGTATGGTCTTGACAAGCTGTCACAGGACGGTTTTGTTCTTTTTCTTTAAAGGCTCTTGCTCTGCCCTAAATGATGACCAGCTTGAGATGTTTTTCTGCCACCAACCTTGTTTAGGTTTAGGAGACAGATGTCTAAAACTGATTGATAAGAAAGTCCTTTCTCCCATATGTAATCATTATAGGCACGTGAACCAACTATGCTTGCTGACTTTTCTCTGTTGTAGATCTGCTGTCTTTTCCCAGTTGTAGAGCAGGTAATTTTGTCCATCTCTCAATCTTTGTTATTAATTTGTGTTACTGCCTTTATTTAAAAAAATATTTTTGGGAAAAGGTGTCAACAAGTAAAACACCCTGTGTATCTAGCTTTAAATTGATATAACCTAACCTGAATACCTGTTTTCCTTTGCTTTAAAGTGATTTTTACTTACAATCACTAATAAGAGAAAATGTTAGTGACTTTTGTTCTTATCCCATTTATAAGAGCATTGTAATATCAATTTTCTCTGAAAGAATCTTGTATATCATCTCATAGTGGGAATGGCTGATTTTTCTTCTTCAATCCTTATTTGTTGCATTTACAGAGTGGGGCAAAAGTAGGTTTGCAGTTGTTTGTATGGAAAATAATACAATAATCCTATATAATAAAGAGGTAATATGCAAATTGACCATCACAAGGTGGCTGGCAGGGGAGGGCAG